CGCAGGTGCTCGCGGTAGTTCCTGGTGAGCAGGGTGTAGAGGAAGGGGTTCACGCAGCTGTTACCGTAGGTGAGGCAGGTGGTCAGGTAGTTGGCCAGGCGTGCGGCCTGAGGGCTGAGCGGCAGCACCTCGTGGAAGTGGGCGAGCAGCTGCCACAGCCAGAAGGGCAGGAAGCAGGCCCAGAAGAGCAGGACAATGCCGAGAATGAGCCAGAGCACCCTGGGGCTCGGCAGCCGCCCCGTCTGCGGGAAGGAGGCCCTCTGTGACCGCCAGTAGGCCCGGGCCAGGCCCACGTACAGCAGCCCTATGATCAGGCCGGGCCCCACGATGCTGGTTCCAAAGAGTAGCGTCAGGTAGGCGCGGTGGGCGCGGGGGCCCCAGGCTGGCAGGCAGAGGCTCTTGGAGCCCCTGCGGACCAGCCGGATGCTCAGCGTCATGGGCAGTGTCAGCAGCAGTGCCAGAAGCCAGGTGCCCAGGGCCAGGAGCTTGCGGTAACCCTTGGCGCGCCGCACCGTGTCCAGAGGCCTCCGCACCGCGGCGTAGCGCTCGCTGCTCATGACGGTCAGTGTGAAGATGCTGGCGTGCATGGTCAGGAAGTCCAGGCTGAAGAGGACACGGCAGCCCACGTCTCCAAAGTGCCAGTTCCTGGTGACGTAGGTGGCCACGATGAAGGGGATGCTGAGCAGGTACAGCAGGTCGGCCAGCGCCAGGTTGACCACGTAGACGTACAAGGAGGCGGAGGCACGCAAGAAGCGGCACATGACCACCAGCGTGTACACATTGCCCGCCACGCCCACCACGCCCACCGCCGACAGCACAGCCCCGATCGCTCCTGCGGTCACCAGGTCCTGCGGGGCCCGGGGCTCTGGGGGGCCGGACCAGGAGCTGTTGGGGGCCACGTTGGGGCCCCCTGGCAGCTCAGGCGTGGCACTGGCCTGGAGGGCCAGCAGGGGGAAGCGGGTCGCAGGCTCCAGGTCCAGCGCCATCCCTGCCCTCCCATGAGGCCCCAGGACCTGCTGCTCCTTACAGAGGGGCGACAGCTTGTCCTGCAGGGGAGGGGAGGGGCCGTCAGCGGCCGGGCACGCCCCTCACCCCTCCAAGGCCCCAGTGGTGGCGCAGCTCCCACGGGGCCCTCCCCTGCGGAGGGACAGGGACAGGGCTTTTTAACATCCCCACCCCCCAGGACTCCAGTCACACCCAGAGGTCACACCTGAAGGTCCACAGGAGTGTGACGCAGAAAACCTCCACCACAACACCGCCGGCTGGCTCAGAACCAACCCAGGAAGCCGTTGTGACACCTCTGCTGCAGGACCCCTTCCTGTGGGAGACAGGCACTGGTGGTGACCCGCGGCCAGACCCCCTGCCCTGCTGGAGCGCGACCTTCGACCCAGGGGCCAGACCCCCTGCCCTGCTGGAGCGTGACCTTCGACCCAGGGGCCAGACCCCCTTCCCCTGGTGGAGCGTGACCTTCGACCCAGGGGCCAGACCCCCTTCCCCTGCTGGAGCGCGACCTTCGACCCAGCGGCCAGACCCCCTTCCCTGCTGGAGCGCGACCTTCGACCCAGCGGCCAGACCCCCTTCCCCTGCTGGAGCGTGACCTTCGACCCAGTGGCCAGACCCCCTTCCCTGCTGGAGCACGACCTTCGACCCAGCGGCCAGACCCCCTTCCCTGCTGGAGCGCAAGCTTCGACCCAGGGGCCAGACCCCCTTCCCTGCTGGAGCGCGACCTTCGACCCAGCGGCCAGACCCCCTTCCCCTGCTGGAGCGCGACCTTCGACCCAGCGGCCAGACCCCCTTCCCCTGCTGGAGCGCGACCTTCGACCCAGCGGCCAGACCCCCTTCTCCTGCTGGAGCGCGACCTTCGACCCAGGGGCCAGACCCCCTTCCCTGCTGGAGCGCGACGCCATACTAGGAGGGCAAAAAGGCCGGAGTCTTTCCTCCCACCCCTTCTCCAGCTACCTGGGGAAGATCATCGGGATGCATCCCTGCGCCAGGCCAGAGAACTACAGGGACCGGCAGACTTAAAAACCCTCGCTTGCTCCAAGAGGAACGGTGAAACTGCCCTGCCCCTCCACGCAGGCCCCTGCCACAGGGCCCCAGCCACCTCGCCCCCCCCCCCCCAGGGCCCTGACATCTGGCTACGACCAATCCCATTGCTTGTGCCGCTCTGCAGAAAGCTGCCAAGCACACAGTCCAACAGCAGCCATCCAGCGAACCACATCCCACTGAACTTAACCCATAAACGGACCGGGCCCTACCGTCTCTGAACCCAAATGTGTGAATCACAGTGAAAAATCACAAAATAAATCAGCAATCAAGACAACATGACACTCTCAAAAGCAACAATCCAGGAAAGGACTCCAGTGAGAACGAAGAGATGGAGATCAAAAGAACCATTAAAGCAATGATGAGAGAATTAGCCAAAAACAAATAGAAGAATTCTAGGAGGAAATGACCAAGAAAATGCAGGACATCCAAGAAGACATGGAGAAGACAGAAAATTACACATCTCACCGAAAGACAAGCCCCCTGGGAGCTGACATAGGAAGCAGGAGAGGTCTGCCTCCTCATTGCAAACCAACGGGAGTAAAAGCAATAGACCAAGTGCAGGAGGAAACAGGATGTCAGGAGTTGAGGATAAAGCAGAGGAATTAGAACAAAAACTGAAAAGCATGGAGAAAAACACGTGGAACATACCAAAGAATTGGAACATTCAGCCAAAAGATCAAATCAACTCATGGTCAGGAGAGAGAAGGGAGAATTCAAAACCAAAGGCATTGAAAACCTATTTAACAAAATAACCCCAAATCTCCACAATCTCAAGAGAATCTCACCCACTGACAGAGGTATGCAGAATTCCTAGTAGACACTATCCAAGAAAAATACCTCTGCGGGGCTGGGAAGGTGGCTCAGTGGTAGAGCGCTTGCCTTGCCTGCCTGAGGCCCTGGGTTCGATTCCTCAGCACCACATAAGCAGAAAAAGCTGGAAGTGGCGCTGTGGCTCAAGTGACTCAAGTGATAGAGTGCTGGCCTTGAGCTGAAGAGCTGAGGGACAGCGCCCAGGCCCAGAGTTCAGGCCCCACAACTGGACCCCCCAAAAATAACAAAACAAAAAATCCCCTCTGGACACATTGTAGTGAAAACTTAAAAACCAAGAAATTAATTTTAAACACAGAAACATCAAGAGGAAGCTTTTACAACAGAAAGATGAGAATCCCTGCACACACTCAATGCATGGAGAGCCGGGGGTGGCATAATCCAAGCTCTAAATGACAGAAGCTGCCAACCCAGACTGGTGAACCCGGAAAAGCGAACATTCACAGTAGACAGCAGAACTAAAACCTTCAAAAACAAGCAAAAACTGAAGGAATCCATGAACAGTAAAGCAGCACTACAAAGAATACGAAATGGAAGCACACAATCTGAAGAAAACAACCAAAGTCAAGGAAACACAACAGTACATTAAAATCACTAGAAGTTTAGCAAACACAAGAGGAGGAAAGAAGCACGCTACAGGAAAACAACAAAATGGCAGGAAAAATGACGTATTTCTTTTCTTTTCTTTTTGTTGGTTGTGGGGCTTGAATTCTGGGCTTGGACCCTGACCCTGTGCTCTTCAGCTCAAGGCTAGCGCTCTACCACACGAGCCACAGCGCCACTTCTGATTTTCTAGTGGTTTATTGGAGATAAGAGTCTCATGGTCTTTTTGTGCCTGGGCTGGCTTTGAACTGTGATCCTCAGATCTCAGCCTCCTGAGTAGCTAGGATGACAGGCGTGAGCCACTGTACCCGGCTAATATGACATATTTCTCCACAGTAACATTAAACACCGACGGACTCAACTCTCCAACCAAAAGATGTAGGAGACTGGATCAAAAAATAAGATCCAACCAACTGCTGTCCCCAAAAAACCCAGGTCAAAGATAAATTCTGAGGGAAGAGATGGAAAAGGATCTTTCATGCGCATTCATCCTGCAGAAGACAGGGGAAGCCATATTGCGGTCGGATAAAATAAACTTCTCGGTAAAACCAGTAATAAGAGACAAAGAAGGACATTCCGTATCAATGAAGGGAATGATCCAGGAAGAGGAAATCCCAGTAGTAAATATTTATGTACCTAAATAGAGCACTAATACATCAAACACTCTTGGACTTGCAGAACATGATAGACCCCAACACAACAATAGTGGGAGACTTTAACACCCCACTGGCACCCAATCACAGGTCAACCAAACAAAAGATCAGCAAAGAAACCTCTGAATTAAATGGCACCATAACTCAAACGGATGTTTTAGACTTCTGCAGGGTGTCTGACACAACAGTCACAGATTTCACGTTCTTCTCAGCAGCCCATGGAATCGTCTCCAAAATCAATCATTTCCTAGGACACCCAACAAGCCCGAACAAATACAAAATGACTGAGATAACTCCTGGCATCCTATCTGATCGAAATAGCATGAAATTAGATCTCATTAGCAAAATATACTGCAGAAAACGTTTAGACACATGGAGACGGAACAACCTACTTCGGAACAACACGTGGGTCACTGAAGAAATAAAGAGGGAATCAGAAAATCCTTGTAATTCAATGAAAATAAAACCACAGTGACACTGGAACCACCCGGATACGGCAAAAGCAGTGTTGAGAGGAAAGCACATAGCTCTAGGCACATAAAACAGAAACAGCTCAAGTCAATAATCTCATGATGTAACGAAAGCTGCTAAAAGAAACACCCCAGGAACAAGCCAAACCCAAAACTACTAGACAGAGAGAGATAGTAAAGATTAGGATGGAAATCAATGAAATAGAGACAAAAACTATACATAAAATCAATGAAACAAAAAGCTGGTTTTTAAAAAAATAAAATAAAATTGACAGACCGCTAATTAATTCAAATCAACAAAATTAAAGATGCCAAAGGAAACCACAACAAACACTCAAGAAACCTAAAAGATTATGAGTTACTACTTTCAAAACCCACACTCAAAGATGACGGGAAATCTAGTAGACATGGATAAATTCTGAGAGACATACAAACTGCCTAGGCTGAAACAAGCACATATAAATCACTAACACAGCCCATTACAAGCAATAAGACTGAGGAAGGAGAAGCCCAGGACTCACAGCTGAATTCTATAAGACTTTTAAAGCTGAGCCAACACCAGGCCTCCTCAAACTTTTCCATGAACTAGAAAGAGAAGGATCAATTCCAAACCCATTCTATGAGGCCAACATCACACTCATCTCAAAACTAGGTAGGGATCCAACATAAAAAGAGAACAGGGCCAACTGCTCTGGTGAACACAGATGCAAAGCTCTTAAAAAATACTAGCCACCACATAAGCAAAAAGAAAAAAAGCCGGAAGTGGCACTGTGGCTCAAGTGGTAGAGCGCTAGCTTTGAGCTGAAGAGCTGAGGGACAGCGCCCAGGCCCAGAGTTCAGGCCCCACGACCGACAAAGAAAAAAAAAACGTAATCCCTATAAAAATTCCAATGATGTTCTTTACCAAGATAGAGAAAAAAAATCCAAAAATTGCTATGGTACAACAAAAGACCCTGAATAGCCAAAGCTATTCTAGGCAAAAATGTAATGCTGGCAGCATCACAATCCCCATAAAGCTCTACAACAAAGCCATGATAACAAAAGCAGCTTGGTATTGGCACAAAATAGACCTGAAGATCAATGGAAAAGACTGGAAGAAACCAGAAATAAAGCCATATACTTGCAGTTATCTGATATTTGGTAAGGGAGCCAAAATGGAAAAAAGACTCTTCAAGGAGTTGGGAAGACGGGCATTCATATGCAGAAAACCAAAAGTGAATCCCTGTTTGTCACCAGACACTAATATCAACTCAAAGTGGATCAAGGACCTGTCACCATATACTAACATCAACTCAAAGGGGGTCACAGACTTGGAAACTACTGCAAAAAGGTAGGAGAAACATCAGAACTTATAGACATAGGCAGAAACGTTTTTGAAAAGTC